GTTTTTATTAATCTCATCCTTTTAAATCGATATTTAATTAGTGGAGTTTCGTCTGTTAAATTCATATGGAAACAAGATATGTTTTAAAATCCTAATTTGTTTTTTATTTTGACTTCTGAATATCTTTATTTATGTCCCCTCAATGTACAAAACAACGAGTTTGTTTTGGCTTCCTTTGGCACTCTTCCAAATGCCTCAGTTGAGAATATGTTTTTTCTATAAATTTACACACTTGAGAGACAATGTTTTGCAAATGTCACTGATCTTAATTGAATGATTTGTATCTATAATTGAATTTTGTATCTATAATAATATTGCAAGCGCTCATTGCATAATGGATTCAATCATTTAATACTTTATCAATGACTTTTAAATTTCAATATTATAATAATTAAGTAAAATTCAGAGAGTCCGTTGGTCTAATATCAGTCACACAGACTGCACCTTTATCAAAACTGTCATTCACAAAATTTCAAAGGCATTTAAATACTTTTTTATATTCATTTTAAAACCTTACAATTTACAATCATATCATTAAATAGATCGAGTTACGCAAAATATGTGGAAAGACGCGGGAGATATAGGCCTACATTTTATGGTCCCCTTTTCGGTATAAACGTTTTGCTTCGTTTCTATTACCGTTCCTTATCTTCACATTGTTTAAAATATGTAATTTCAATTAAAACATGATTACCATTTTTTATTCTGGGTAACCTTAAATTTACTAAATTTCTAAATTACTAAATCTACTTAAATTTTTATGATACATTAGTTATTTTTATATGCTTCCTATATTTAACTTTTTCTCATTTCCATATATTGTAAAGTTGTCACATAAAGATACAAAATGATACAAAAATAAAAAAAAGTTTTGATCGTTTTCTAAGTGAGAAAAATACTTTTTACGGATTTTTGGCTCAAATCTGCACTGAAACTGGAAGCTTATAAAAGCTACCATATAAGCAAATATACTCTGAGTATTTCATCTAATCAATAACCAAAGAAAAGATTCTACCTTAAAGCTTTTTATAGTGTATTTATCCTTAAAACAATTAATTCACTATTTTACGAGAAAAGTCGTAGACAATCTTTATAACTTTGTCAACATGCAATCAATACTAACCAAATTTCGTACAGACATAATATATACAATGTTTCTTAAAAATTGTAAATTCTTAAGCATATAACTTTCATATAGATACTATTGGGACGATTATATGAAGGTCAATATGGTGTGTTGGCGCACGAACGAAATTCGGAATATTTTACGCCTATAACTATTACATTTGCTTTTATTTATTTAGTACTATATTAAACATTGAACTCAAATTTAAGTCAGTGAAACGAGAAATCTTAATAATATGTCAAATTTTCATATAAATAGCATTAGAAACAGACGATTGATGTCATGATTTTCAAATTGATGTTGGAATTGTGTTTGATGAACGTGACGTCGTCAAACACGTAACCGACGCACGGAGATGTAATAATTTTTTTGGATATCATTAATGTAGACCAGAGACGGGGAAAAGAATACAAAAGTGGCATTTCATACTAGATTCTAATAGAGAAGTTATTTTTAAATGGTCTGAGATTCGATGATAGTTTTTCTTCTTAACCTAAAATACTCGTAGTTACAGCATAAGAAGTAAAGTACTGCTTGCTAAACGCAGACTGCATATGGGGAATATTCTGGGCCATGATCGACGTCAAACAATGTGTATTCGCTGATCTTTCGACTAAATTTCGACTGAAATTTGAATCTTCTAAAAATAAAAAGAAATGGACAGTAGTGAATTTAAATAAGTTCTTTAGTCAATAGTGGTTTATCCAATTAAAAAAAAATATTGATATGTTAACAGATGCTTGTGTAGCAGAAAAAGAGATCATGACGTTATAAAAGACGTAAACTACGCTCGCTTTCGTGCGCCAATTTACAATGACATGGTTTCTTTATTTTTTGATTATTTTCTAAATAAATGTACTATCATCATGGAACTTGAAATGCATGATCATAAAATGTTACTCTTTGTTAGATTAGAAAAGAAATTTAATGTAGCAAAGAAAAACTATACTGTTTTCCTTGTCTACAACGTTTTGGGACAACCCTCGTATATGTGCATATATTTACTTTCAAATGAAAACTTTTACACCATTTTGAACTTGAATGACCTCGCGTCTCTAAAGTTAAATTGACAGTAAACTTTGTTTAATTTAAATTTGAAGTCATTAAATAAATCGGTTGTTTTATTATTATTATTATTGATATATTTGAAACGGTTTAGATTATGTACTCTATATAAAATGTGATGAAGAAATAGAAAGAATTCTTGAATTTTGGTTCTCTGAGTTTATCGGAAATACACCATGTTTTGGTTAAATACATATGTAAGTGAATTAACCTGAAGGTTTTTTAAATCCTTCAAAAACTAGTAGATATGTATCTTGTTTTTCAATTTACTATCTTTCATTAATGAATATGTATATCCTTCATGATGACCTCTGAAGAAATTGATTTTAGTGTTGTTTAAAACAAAACATTTTCAAATTCACAATAAATATTACTTATATAGCTTTGCTTTCTGATTCCTTAATCATGAATTCAATAAATTTAAATTTCCATTCTACAAAACTGAAAGTGTGAAAAAAAATTAAGGATTGACTTTAATTTTAACTTTTAGAATAAAAGTAGGGCTATAGAGGTTAAAAACTAATAAGAGTACAATTATATTTTCAGCCAATAAAGGTTTATTTATTAATCTTTTGTCCCCAAATAACAATGAAAGAATTTATCTTTGGAGCAATCAAGACCAAGTGGGAATGCATTAAAAGATTCATTGATTCATTACTAGGCCAGGTGGTAGACTTTAAATCCCAAATACGATATCTCAAAGTTATAAACATTAACATGCGTTTATTTACTGCACAAAATAGAGATGACGTCCTTTTGGCAGCATGGTAAATATTAAGCAATATTATTTGAATGTTTTTAAATGGAGACAAAATTGTTTTTATACTATTTCTTTAAATTTTGCTTCAAACAAAGAATAATGTTTTGAAGAAGCTAATTTTTTAAATACATATTTTAATATCTTTTAGAAGATTATAATACAAATACAATTAGATATCAATTATACTGAAATAAGATTCTTCTCTCTGACATAAAAAAGTTTGCTTCACTTCTTCCTTTATGCTATATTAGTATTTATTAATGGTTTTTCAATAATAAATAATTTTAAATTTTGAAGATTGCCCACATTTTTAGTATTAGATATTTAAACTCTCTATTTTGACAGATTTTTATGGACCTTCGGAAGAAAAACTAGAAGTAAATAAAAAGTTTTCGCCAGTCGAATTGTGTCAAGTGTTGTTGATTGCAGGAAAACAAGCACTGGAGTTAAAGGTCCAAGAAGAGGTAGATCAACCACTTACAGATTTTATTTCTCAACACAAACACGAATTGTTTCATTTGCATACAAGACGGAGATGTTGCAGATGTGATTTTACTAAAATCTCACTTACAAATTGCGAAAACTCTCCTCCTTGTTTGTCATGGAAAGATTGGTCAAGTTTGTTCGTTCCCACTGGACAAAAATGTGACCTTCAAAGACATTGTTCTTGCCAATACGAACATTTAAGGGAGATAAATCTACATTCTCTAGGAATACATTTATTGATATGTATCCTGCTTAATATTTGTAATATACCGCAAGATGAAAAACTCAAAGTTAACACTTATAAAGATGCTTTACGGTCAGTTACTGACTTTTGGGAGAACCTATATAATTGGAACACATATGCAGCAGAAAATATTGTTCTTGGAATGGTCGGACGGGAAGATAACCGTGTTGTAATAAAAAGTAAGATTCGAGATTTAAGAAGCAAACCTTACCGTTATTATGAAGAATTAAAAGAATATATGATAGATCTTGTGAAGGAAAAGAGAAGAGCAGCCAATGATACGGAGTTGTTCATTTCTACGTTGGTTGATACACCTGGCAGCTCAGTAACCGTCTCTGTAAGTTATCTTTAAATTTACATATGGAATCACTTGTAGCTTTCTCCGATAAGAGTTTATTTTCAAAAAGAAAAGGGCCAATAAAATAAAATCTAAAATTCTTAGTTTTGGTTGAAGATGCATAAAATCTAATTTAAACTTTGATGATAGCGAATCTTTTACAAATAACGTAATTTCGGGACTAGTCTATGTGCTATGTCAGCATGAATTTCATCAGTTTCTCCATATTCTTAAATATTCTATAAAATTGGCCAAAGTTTTAAGTTTTTTTAAAACACAATATATAGAGTACAGCCCCTGATTTTAAATGAACAATTAAATGACGATAAAACCGTTCTGAAATCTGAAGATTGCAAAGCATTTTATCTCTTTGATTGAAGAGGTTCGCTCATACTCTTTGCTGAAAGTACTGAAGTAAACTTCATCAAAATTATTATTTAATTTGAAAGCAATTCAGAAGAAAAGTGATGAGAAGCAAATCATTACAACATGAACACATTGGTTATGGAAAAATAACGGAATTTGGAGAGACTGCTGGTAATATGAAAACTTTTTCTTCTGTGTTTGAGAAGTGCAACAAAACTTTTAAAATACTGAAAATATTAAACTCTATATTTGATGGTAATTTGAAGTTATACCCTGTAAAAAAAAACTAATAAAATTATTTCCCTTACAGAATATACACGAAATTGCAGATTCTATCCACTGGAAAGCTTTCCACATTTTCAATACGTGTACAACTTGGTATTTGACTGTTATTGCCGCCTCATGGAAACAAACGAACTATGCCCTGATGAACTGGGTGTTTGTAATATGAAACCTGAACACGATCTTGTCATTAAAGTAGATTTTGTTGGCACCCTTACAGAAGAAAGATTAAATCTTGTTTCTGACAGAAAAGGTAGTATGTTAAAAAGAAATCTATTTCTATCTATATGACACCATGAATATAACTAAACTATTATTTTGTTGATCATAAATTGCAGGAAAAGATAAAAGAATGGGTAAAATGGCTTGGTCCGAATCGCCACTTATTTGTTTTCTCCAAAAGGATACCAAGGTATCAATTCTGAAACTTTATTACATTTTAAAACTATTCAAACATATTTAATATCGAAGGCTTTAAAGATTAATGTTATTATATATTTTTCTTTAGATCCATAGTATGAGAGCATGTCACACACTTGTTGTAGTAAATAATCTTGAAAACTTAAAAAAGAAAAGGATTGATTCTCAAGTCCAAGTCATCGAGCACAATGAGAAGAAAATACGCAAGGCAATTTCCGTTTGCATAGAGAAAGGAATACAAAACTACATAGAAAAATTAATTAACATAATTAAACATTCAAAAAATAATTCAAGCGAAGATTTGATAGACTTTCATATGGAATTGAAAGCTATCTCAAAGCACGTGATTCTTGAAGAAAATACATACCAACATGCATTCAAAAGAAACGACTTTTTCAGCATACCACAAGAGATAAGAGATCTTCTTTCTAGGTAAATTTTTTTTTATAATTTTATTTTATGCAAAGAAAAATTTTCAAAACTTAATTGTCTATATTTCATAAGATCTGGCAAATTTTGTCGTTTGAAAATGAAAATTAAAAAAATAATGAAAAAATAAGTTCTTCATAATTGAGAATTCGCAGATGATTTTCATTCCTAAATACTGACAAGAGAACTTTGTTTTCCAGAGAACCCCATGTCAATTCCTTCGGAATCTGGGAAGACGCCACCTTTAAGATATTTATGGATGAAACTTTAGATGCTGATATTCTAAAAGAAAAATTAAAAAGAAAATATCAAACTTTTTTTGAAAAACATAGACTTCATATTGAGAGAAAGAAATTCATTATGAAATGTGCAACTCAATTAAAACAAGGTGGGGAGTTACGCAAACCCAGTCCTTCAGGGGAAAATGTTGAATGTGGTACTTTAGGCGGATTTGTTAAAGACACCAAATCCTCTGAAAGCTGTTCCGAAGCATACGCTTTGACGTGTAACCATCTATATCCATCAACGAATGATCCAGCTTATGCAAATATAGATGGAGAAGAAAAGGAAATTGGAAAATGCATTTTTACTACCCGTGAAAACTCTTGTGATTTTGCAGTTATCGAAATTAGTAAAGATTTTTCTGATAAATGCGATTTAGAATTTAGACGGGATGACGAAAAATCGTGCAACGCAGAGGTTTCGGAATTTTTCCCAATACATGTTGGTATTGTACATAAAAACGGTTCAAAAACAAATTGGACACGTGGTCGTGTAGTCAGTCGTGCATTCTATGATGTTGTTAATAAAAGAGAAAGTTTTGTTGTCAAAGGCTTAGGTTGTCCATTCTCTACTCCTGGTGACAGTGGATCGATTGTTTTTGCGAGAGACAATTCAGTGTCCCAATATGCTGTTGATGTTTTGGGAATGGTCTATTCAAATCATCCTGACATCCGTGATGATACAAGCCAACCGGAGAATGAAAAAGTAGATGAAGCTTCAGGACATTCGGAGATAAATCTTAAAAGTGGAACCGACCAGTGTTATTCTACAGACGGGGGCAAAACTAAAAGTGACCAGATACGAGCCAAAATTATGAAGAATCCGGAAAACTACAGTTTTTGTTTTCGAATGAACAACGCTTTTGAGCTTTTGGAAAAAGAGAAAAACTTACTTGTTAGTTTTGAGAGAGTAGTAAATTTAGATGAGAGGGATGATGATTGATTTGCAAATTTAACAAAAAGTACCAATGTTTTAAAAGCTATTTATACTCTTTATTTACATTATCTTTTCACAAAATATTATCCCTAATAACACAAACAATGTAATGGTTACATAGACAATAAATAAAACTGTAATCACTATGAATGTCACTGCTGTTGATTTTTCCTCTTTTCTCTAATACAACCGGTTCTATATAACCTGAATCTGGAAAAAAAACCTGCAGCTCTAGATATAGAGTAAGCAAACACCGACCTCTAAAACGTCAGTGCCTCTTAACACTCATAATGTGCACCTGGTGCTAAACTCACTCTGTATGAAAGTTATGTGTCAGATCATTTTTAACCATGTTCGTATGTCAAACTACTAAAAAATAAGTCCTTTATCTCCAGTTATTTCAAATGATGTAATAACTATGGTGTTGTAAATGTCTTGATGTCACAACACTGCTTAATATGCTTAAGTTCATAAACTAAAATACAATATAACGGTATTACATAATTTTTTGTTCTTATAACAAGTTTCATTATTCCTAAAAATTAGGTCAATAAAAAGAATGGGCATTAACTTGGTTGACAATACTTTGAAATATTTGCAGAATTGTTTAAACGATTTTTGACATTTGAAGCTACTCTCGGTTGTTTCGGATCTACACGTAAGTGTAAGCTCTCTCAAAACTCAAAGGTTTTTATAAATTAGTCCCCACAGTTACAATACATATATAAAATACTTACGCCTAATTTGAAATCAAGAAATATGTATATACCGGTATTGAATGCATCTTAGTTAACATGTATCTTTACATATTCTTTGAACTGTCTTTACAATTTGTTTGTAATAAACATAAAATCCATTACATGTATATTTAAAAAATGAAATTATTTCTAGGGGAAATAACGTCATTTTCAGGAGACATTGCAAATGCTGAAGAATTTGCATTTTCTTTATTCCATTTACCATAGTCTTAATCGTTTGATCAAGTGTATAATCAATTAAAAAAAAAAAAAAAAGTAGCCTAAGGATATTGATGATTGGTTCTCAAATGAATTTCTGTAGTAATGAAAAGACTAGGCAATATTTTATACATTGTCAAATTAATGTTTAATATAGATCATACATATCGCAAAGATATACATAAAATTATTGTTAAAGTGTTAAAGGTGAAGATAACGAACATTTATCTATTCAAAAATCTATAAGAGTTGCGTCAAGCGAAAAGAGACCTTCGTGACATAAACGTAATTACGTCACAATAGCGTTTCAAAGACGTGACGTCTAGTCTGCGCGTTTGCCGATGAAAAAAAAAAATACGGTAAAGCAAAACAAAAGTATCTTTGCGTAATACATATTTTCTTTTAAAATAGACACGACTAAAACTGTCTTGAAAAAAAATTTTCAATATCGTCAATTTATAGGTTTACTGGCAAGTTTTAAAAAAAAATATATATATAAACTAATTTAATTTTTGATTGTTTATGAATGGTTTGATTTATTCGTGAGCTGTCAAAAATGTTCATCAACAAATCAATGTACGTGCATAGGCTATGAAAACAATCGCTTCTTTTGCCTTTCCGACTGAGCTCCAGTCTCTACAGATAAGCAAATGGTCCTTAGCATTTATTTCAATGTTTTGTTTCTTTCTTTTTTTTTTTTGGATTTTTTTTTTGTGGGGGGGGGGGTATATGTAACACATTCCAGATTGTTTCCAGAAAGGCCCGAGAATGCTCAGTGCCTAAAGTTTGTGATCAAAGGAGATTAAATGTTCGAATCAAGTTCACTGATTCTAGCATGGTTGCAATTATAACATTTTGTCAATTTATATTAAGAACAAAAATACGAATGCAGCAGCTAAGAAACTCTGTCTGTATTGCCATAAAGGATGAAGCGGCAAAAGCCATACGGACTTCCATATTTACTCACTTAAATTAACACGTCACCTTTAGCGCAACAAAGGTTTGAAAATTTAGCTGTATGACGCAATAAAATGTGAAGATAATAAACAGTGATAATTTTCATAACTAATTTGTGGTGTTGTTTTCATTGCCTAAATCAAACGAATAAATTAAAACTAAACACGGTAACTTAAGGTTAAGCTGATGTTGTTGAAGTCGAAAATTAAGAGCGAAATAGGTCATGTATTGAATCAGACGCATGTAGGTCATGAGTCTTATTTTCTTATTATTTCATGCAAAAATAGTAGTTCCGGACTATAAATATGAGCATATCTTGAGTTTGTAATCTTACATAATATTGTAATTAAAAGGTTTGATTACCCCCCCCCCCCTCCCCGTTTTTGGATGTGCTCGTTTGTATTACTACGGAAAGGGAAGCCTTTCAAGGAAAAATTCCGAATTTTCTTTTCTTTACTCTCTCTTATTATTTTTTTAATTAATTAATTTTTCGTTTTGATTTTGCTTGTTCATTTTTGTTTTCACGTATTTATTTAAGGAATCACTGTCTAGTTAGGAGGGTATGTCAGAGCATCAACAATAGTGGGAAACATGGGATAATTTGCATAACGGGCGAAGCCCGTTATGCTTAAATTATCCCATGTTTCCCACTATTGTTGATGTTCCTGACATACCCTCCTAACTTAAGACAGTGATTCCTTATATTTCCATTTCATTGTGAAATAAAATAGTAGATTTAGACTTTAAAAATGTAGATATAAAATAGATTTAAATCACATGATGACTTCCATGCCAATATCAATAGTCCTCGCCAACCGACGTCAAACACAAAGCAGCCGCACGAGATTTACATGCATATTTGGCCTCCTTAGCGTCAGACACAGAGACAGGTGCGCACGAGAATTGCATGCGTATTAGGCCTCCTTAGCTCCCGACCTATCGACCTGCCTAATTTACATTACGGCAGAATTATCAAGAAATAAAAACTACCCCTAACTTTGAAAGAGTTATCACAGAGAAAAAAAATTAGAAATGGAAATATTTTACTATTAATTTCTTTTTTTAGTTCGATCATAACCACTTTGAAAACACAGGTACACCATATCCCATATATCGCTCATATATTTGATCAATGAATGAAGTACCGGATCATTGTCTTGAAATCCACATCATTAGAAAAAGTGTTGTAGGTTTTTTTTCAATCTTCTTCTTCTTGTTCTCTTTGACACTGAATATGAATTTAACTGATTATTTAATTTACAAAATGTAACTGTGTATGAACTTGTTTATTCAAGTAATGTTTAAATTGTACATCTGTAAGTTCAATCTCTACCCAGAGTTATCGTTGTAGCAAAGCGAACGACAACTCTGGGTAGAGATTGCTGTAAGTTAGAATGTCATTCGGGACCCTTGACTTGATCAAAAATTATGGCATGAAACAACGTACCAACTCGTGAATAGGTGACACATTATGAAATTATACGTTAACCATTTTAGTATATTCTGAACGTCAAATTTAACGTCTGACGTTGAATTGATTGTGTTGCATCAAGCCTAGATATATACGTAACCTTGGCATTTTTATCGGTAGTGTAGAACAAATTAAATTCCTTAATTTTTTTTTTAATCAGAATAAAAAACACGTTTTTTCTACATTCTAAAAAACACAATATTAACCTTTATCAAATGTACAAAAAGTTTATTTTTTTACAATGTTACTAGTTTTCATATGTAGTTAAGTGACAATTGTACCATTATATAGGACTGACGGTAAATTTAGATTTTGCTTTGATGTTGGTGTGGTGTATTTTCCTGAAGAATCACATTTTTTTTAGGTCAAGTCCACTTAAAGTAGTTATAACTTATGAATACTATGTATAAACCAGTATATTTAATTCAATTTTAGCATCTTAAATCATTGTCATGCAGACAAGTAACATCTTTTTGGGGGGGGGGGGGGGTAAAATACGTTTATTCTATTTTGAATTGAGAGATTTTCCACATTTCAGTATAATTTCCAATTGAAATAAAATTAAGGGAAATCGTTTTTAACCGGGCTTATTGCTCAAAGAGCAATTGCCGGCTTATGTGATCCTGTTCAAGACAGGATGTTAACCCCATAGTCGCCATTTTAAAGTTACGTGTAAAAATATAGTTCTTACTCTCAACCGCTTTTGAGATAATACAAACGCTAAATAAAGCAACAAAAATAAAACGAAGTTTTATCTAAATAAATAAACATATTTAGTACCTTTGAAAACTTCAGTCTTAAGTCAAAGAACATAGTTCATTGGTGTAAGGAGTTTTGATAATCAGGGTTACATGTGTCTTAGTTCTCTACACATACGAAGAAAAGCAGGAGAGGGAACCAGACTGGCCTGTTTGTTTATTTTCAGTTGCGGTACCAGATTAATTCTGATTCTGACAAAATCGGACTGTGGTATTAGGATAGAAACTCACTGTCAGTGTCTTATCATTTATATTGATAGATTTAAAATGATTTTTTCATCAGAATTCTAAATCTGATATTCTTTTTTTTAATCTGTTAATACAATATAAACGTATGATTCATGTAAGAAATTCATAATGATCCTACTCTGTAAATAAGCCCGGCTCTCTGTACTTCTGAGTACTTTGATTGAAAGAAGTGTCCAATAATTGACAGGCAACAAATTACAATGACTGAAGGGTTGCACCCCAACCACCCCTTAAATTTAGTTCAGAGAAGTACCTTAAAAAATACATGTAGGCACTGCCTAAGGGTTTGTTTTTGTGGAGGCGGGTTTGCTGATTATACCGGAAAAGAAAATTAATAAAATTCCACTGACAGGGATCAATCCTTACGACCTTACTAAATGAACAGTGATATTCTTTTTAACCCTATTGCGAGCAATCGTAGTAACTCGGTCAATTTCGTCAACAAGAAATAATTTCTCTTGGAAAATGGCCGTGTTGTAACGAATGCCTTACGAGATGATTTCAGAGTAGGAACCTTTTTTGTTTTTTTTTTCTTTTTTATGGTCAGCGGTCTATCCCTGGTCAAGGATCCATTCAAATACTAATTTCCAGTGATTAAAGCATGATTATGTAGATGATGTAGAAAAAAGGGTGAGATAATGTCGTTGAATATACTC